GGGAGACGCTGTGTGTTTCAGTGTGAGAGCAAAAGCACTTTATTTGGCCTTCCGGAAGTAGATGCATTTAGGAATCTTTAAGATTACTTACAACAGAACAGCAATGCATTTTATGGACGTTTCGTGAACGTCCATAAAATGAATGAGGAGGATGAGGAGATGAGGAGGTCATTCTGACTTTGCTATGACAATCTGGCACTTCTGAATCAGCTATTGTTTTGTTATTAGTTTAAGTATTTGCTATTGACTGTTCAAATGTGGAGTTTTGCGCATCGTGTGTGTGTGTGTGCGTGCGTGCGCACGCGTGTGTGTGTGTGACAGAGAGTGAGAGAGAGATCACAGTAGAGTCAGCTGTCTTAACCGTGGCTTGTATACTGCACACATACCAGCTTCATCACTGTGTCTGTCACGCGACTCTGTTCCCCTTTCGGGCTCTGTCTTTACATTTATTTTGAAAGATGAAGCTCACGATTATGGTAAGGGGGGGTGGATTTCCGACGAGTGCTTGCGGTGTTCGGCCAATCACAATGCACTGGGTCAGCTGGCCAATCAGAGCAGACTGCGCTTGTCGGAAGGAGGGACTTTGTAGAAAACGAAGCGTTTGAGAGAGGCGGGGCTTAGAGGACCTACAATAATGTACAGTATTTGAAAAATAATGTGTTTTTTGAACATTAAAGCATGTCAACATATTCTGTTACACCAAATACACAAAATAATTATCTTTAAAAAAGCATCATATGAACCCTTTAATATTTTATTAATTTTATTTAAATTCAATTACATTGGTATCCTATTTCTTTTTTCTCCTTTTCTTTTACCCTTTCTTCTTTAAAATCCATTTTATTTCTATTATATTATACATGAATTTCTAATTTTGATTTATGTTTTTGATTTTAAATGTAAAAATGTATATTTATTTTTATTTTATAGATTAGATCATTTCAAATACAAGTAATGTAATAGGGTTCATAGTATTCATGTTGGTAGCACAAACGTCCAGGACAAGATATGTGTTTTTTCAAACCTCAGTTATGTGCAATACAAATAGGAATCTCGAACACTCTGTCTTTCATTGTTTGTTCAAACAGGTAGTTGAACCAATGTCGAGAAATGTTCTGAAAGCCTCACAGAGCCTCTAGAGGAAATCAGCTGTAATAGGAGTATTTTATATTTAAAAAATTACACACTTCAGCTTTACTCCTCAAAAAATATTATAGAGATGATAAAAATGGATTTTACTGTATTGTGAATGTTTTCCTCATTGATTTCTGTTTGATATGTCATTTGTTCTTTAGGTCTGCCACAGATAGCCTGCTGAAACCCTCTGACCTTATTTCCTCGACACCTTCTGCCTCTGAAAAAACAGAATCGGCCATTGTTGAATCCCTCGAGGCTGCCTCGGTTGCACCTCAGAGCTCCACAGTGAGGTCAGAGGTTATGACGTCAAATCCTGTGGTGATCCACCATGCCCAGACCTCTCCTGTAGCTTCACAACAATCCCAGCAATCAACAGCACCTTCACCCATTCCCCCTGCAGCACAAAGACGAGAGTCTACCCCTTCACCCACCAAACAGCTCAAAAAACCCTCACTTGAGCAGACACAAATACCAAATAACAGCAGCAATGGAGTCTCAGCTAATGGCATTCATGGCAAAGGTCCTTCTCCAAACATCATTGAGGAGATACGCGCTAGTCGCAGCAAGAACAAGAACAGGGCTGTGTCAATAGAGGTGAGTATTGTGCATGATAAACCAAGTGGGTGAGGTGAAAATGTGTGTTCCCTTGTTTAGTTACTAGTTTGATCGGTATCTTCAGGCTGCAGAGAAAGAATGGGAGGAGAAGAGGCAGAACATGGGTCATTATGATGGGCAGGAGTTCGAACGGATGCTCCAGGAAGCAGAAGCCAACATGCTGAGAGGAATACCAAACCTTGAGGTGCCCAGCGAACCCGAGGGCTCCCCTGAAGTGGTTCTTGCCTCCCTGGAGGAGGTGGTAGAAAAAAATGAGCCCACAGCAGCACCAGCAAAACAGGGTAAGAGACTGAAAGAGACATCAGAGCTCTTGAGACTACTATTTGGAGATGTTTATACTTAATTCTGTTTCTGCAGATGACAATCAGCCAAACTCTGAGAAACCTACTAAGACTGCTCCAGAGAAACCTCCCAAACCTCTGGAGAAACCAGTTAAGTCAGCTTTGGAGAGACCTCTTAAGCCCAACCTATCCATCAAATCCAGCCTGGAGAGACAAAGTAAGACACAGGAAAAAGTTGTTAAGCTTCCGACCACAGACAAAGCCAACAAGTCCCCTCCTCCACCCCCACCTCGACGAAACTACACCACCAACACTGGGATGACCACCACCCGATCTGGAGAGGTCATTTACACCAGCAGGAAGGAGTCTGTTATGGTACAAGTGTGTTTGCAGGATATATGTGTATTATTGATATATATATATAATTTTTTTTTTACTTTGTACAAATAATAAAAAAAAGATAAATAAACATAATTGCATGAACTTTTAATTATATTTTTAAATAACTATTAATATAAATTAATAAAATAAAACTATAAATATAAAATAAATTTTAATTCGGTTTCAAAATAATAATTATTATAAAATGAAAAAGTAAAATAAAATAAATTATATTTTAAAATAATTATTAATATAACTTGTTTCGTAGGAGGGTGAAGAGGAGTCCAACGGTACAGCGTCTCAGTCTGAACCAAAGTCCTCTCCAGAGGTGAAGCCCAAACCCATTACTCCTCCACCTATCGCTGCCTCGGCTATCACTGAGGAAGAGGATGAGGGAGACAAGATTATGGCAGAGCTACAGGTGAGATTCACACAGAAACTCAAACACAAGCACACTAATACACACTTGTAGCAAACATAACTTCATGTTTCTAATTGGTATAAATGTGTATACATGCACACGTGGTCACTTACTTTCACTAACTATAGGTGTTTTGATGTTTAAATGTCTTGGGTATGAAATCGCTTTGGTGTGGGTGTGCCCTGTGGCTCATGCGGTGGCAGTTTCATTTCCCTTGCAGTAGATTACCTTCTTTTCTCAAAATTATATAAATGCATATTTAAATACACAACCTAGTTCTTACAAATTCTTAAAAAACAAAAAACTTTTTTTTATTATTATTTTTTTTATTCTACCTTTTAGTCTTTTAAAATAATACTCATAAATTCTTAACAGGATAGAAAGGACAGAAAATACTAAAGAAATTATATATATATATATA